CATGGCAATAAGTACATACCTATCGATAATCACCCTAAACGTAAATGGACTGAATGCACCAATCAAAAGACACAGGGTCACTGAATGGATAAAAAAACAAGACCCATCTATATGCTGCTTACAAGAGACTCATCTCAAACCCAAAGACATGCACAGACTAAAAGTGAAGGGATGGAAAAAGATATTTCATGCAACTAATAGAGAGAAAAAAGCAGGTGCTGCAGTACTTCCATCAGACAAAATAGACTTCAAAACAAAGAAAGTCACAAGAGACAGAGAAGGACATTACATAATGATAAAGGGGTCAATACAACAAGAAGATATAACCATTAGAAATATCTAGACTCCCAACACAGGAGCACCTACATATGTGAAACAAATACTAACAGAACTAAAAGGGGAAATAGAACGCAATGCATTCATTCTAGGAGACTTCAACACTCCACTCACTCTGAAGGACAGATAAACCAGACAAAATAAGTAAGGAGACAGAGGCACTGAACAACACATTAGAACAGATGGACCTACCAGACATCTATAGAACTCTACACCCAAAAGCAGCTGAATACACATTCTTCTCAAGTGCACATGCAACATTTTCAAGAATAGATCATATACTAGGTCACAAAAAGAGCCTCAGTAAATTCAAAAACATTGAAATAGTACCAACCAGTTTCTCAGACAACAAAGGTATGAAACTAGAAATAAATTATGAAAGAAAATGAAAAAGCCCACAAACACAGGGAGGCTTCACAACATCCTCCTAAATAACCAATGGATCAATGACCAAATAAATACACAGATCAAGCAATATATGGAGACAAATGACAACAATAATTCAACACTGTAAAATCTGTGGGACGCAGAAAAGGCGTTGCTAAGAGGAATGTATACTGCAATACAGGCCTACCTCAGGAAAGAAGAACAGTCCCAGATATGCAATCTAAACTCACAATTAACAAAACTAGAAAAAGAACAAATGAGGTCAAAAGTCGGGAGAAGGTAGGACATAATAAAGATTAGAGCAGAAATAAATAAAACTGAGAAGAATAAAACACTAGAAAGAATCAATGAAACAAGAGCTGGTTCTTTGAGAAAATAAACAAAATAGATAAACCCCTAGTCAGACTTACCAAGAAACAAAGAGTCTACACACATTAGCAGAATCAGAAACGAGAAATGAAAAATCACTACAGACACCCAGAAATACAAAGAAATACTAGAGAACACTATGAAAAATTGTATGCTAGCAAATTGGATAACCTAGAAGAAATGGACAATTTTCTAGAAAAATACAACCTTCCACGACTGACCAAGGAATAAACAGAAAATTTGAACAGACCAATTACCAGCAACGAAATCGAACTGGTAATCAAAAAACTACCTAAGAACAAAACTCCTGGACGAGATGGCTTCACCATTGAATTTTATCAAACATTTAGTGAAGACCTAATACCTATCCTCCTTAAGTTTTCCAAAGAGTAGAAGACTAGGGAATAGTTCAAAACTCATGCTGGTATTATGAGGCCAGCATCACTCTAATACCAAAACCAGTCAAAGACGCCACAAAAAAGGAAAATTACAGACCAATATCTCTGATGAACATAGATGCAAAAATACTCAACAAAATATCAGCAAACCAAGTTCAAAAATAACATCAAAAAGATCACACACCATAATCAAGTAAGATTTATTCCAGGGATGCAAGGATGCTACAACATTCGAAAATCCATCAACATCATCCACCACATCAACAAAAAGAAGGACAAAAACCACATGATCATTTCCATAGATGCTGAAAAAGCATTTGGCAAAATTCAACACCCATTCATGATAAAAACTCTCAACAAAATGGGTATAGAGGGTAAGTACCTCAACACAATAAAGGCCATATATGACAAACCCACGGCCAACATCATACTTCACAGTGAGAAGCTGAAAGCTTTTCCTTTAAAATCGGGAACAAGACAAGGATCCCCACTTTCCCCACTTCTATTCAACACAGTACTGGAGGTCCTAGCCATGGCAATCAGACAACACAAAGAAATACAAGGCATCCAGATTGGCAAGGAAGAAGTTAAACTGTCACTGTCTGCAGATGACATGATATTATACATAAAAAACCCTCAAGAATCCACTCCAAAACTACTAGATCTAATATCTGAATTCAGCAAAGTTGCAGGGTACAAAATTAATACACAGAAATCTGTTGCTTTCCTATACACTAATGATGAACTACGCTTTCCTATACACTAATGATGAACTAGCAGAAGGAGAAATCAGGAAAAAAATTCCATTCACAATTGCATTCAAAAGAATAAAATACCTAGGAATAAACCTAACCAAGGAAGTGAAAGACCTATACTCTGAAAACTACAAGACACTCATGAGAGAAATTAAGGAAGATACCAATAAATGGAAACACATCCCATGCTCATGGATAGGAAGAATTAATATTGTCAAACGGCCATCCTGCCTAAAGCAATCTACAGATTCAATGCAATTCCTATCAAAATACCAACAGCATTCTTCAACGAACTAGAGAAAATCATTCTAAAATTCATATGGAAACACAAAAGACCCCAAATAGCCAAAGCAATCCTGGGAAGGAAGAATAAGGCTGGGGGATTATGTTCCACAACTTCAAGCTCTACTACAAAGCCACAGTAATCAAGACAATTTGGTACTGGCACAAGAACAGACCCATAGACTGATGGAAGAGACTAGAGAACCCTGATATAAACCCAACCATATATGGTCAATTAATATATGATAAAGGAGCCATAGACATACAATGGGGAAATGACAGCCTCTTCAACAGATGGTATTGGCAAAACTGGACAGCTACATGCAAGAGAATGAAACTGGATTATTGTTTAACCCCATACACAAAAGTGTACTCGAAATGGATCAAAGCCCTGAATGTAAGTCATGAAACCATAAAACTCTTAGAAGACAACATAAGCAAAAATCTCCTGAATATAAGCATGAGCAACTTTTTCCTAAACACATCTCCTCGAGCACAGGAAACAAAAGCAAAAATGAACTCATGGGACTACATCAAACTAAAAAGTTTCTGTATGGTAAAGGACACCATCAACAGAACAAAAAGGCATCCTACAATATAGGAGAATATATTTGTAAATGACATATCTGACAAGGGGTTAACATCCAAAATGCATAAAGAACTTAGAAGCCTCAACACCCAAAAAGCAAATAACCTAATTAACAAATGGGCAGAGGATGTGAAGAGACAGTTCTCCAAAGAAGAAATTCAGATGGCCAAAGGACACATGAAAAGATGATCCACATTGCTAATCATCAGAAAAATGCAAATTAAAACTACAATGAGATATCACCTCACACCAGTAAGGATGGCCAGCATCAAAAAGACTAAGAACAAATGTTTGCGAGGATGCAGAGAAAGAGGAACCTTCCTACACTGCTGGTGGGAATATCAGCTAGTTCAACCATTGTGGAAAACAATATGGAGGTTTCTCAAAAAACTAAAAATAGAAATACCATTTGACCATTCCACTCCTTGGAATTTACCCAAAGAATACAACTTCTCAGATTCAAAAAGACAGATGCACCCCTATGTTTATCGCAGCACTATTTACAATAGCCAAGAAATGGAAGCAACCTAAGTGTCCATCAGTGGATGAATGGATAAAGAAGATGTGGTACATATACACAAAGGAATATTATTCAGCCATAAGAAGAAAACAAATCCTACCATTTGCAACAACATGGATGGAGCTGGAGGACATTATGCTCAGTGAAATAAGCCAAGAGGAGAAAGACAAGTGCCAAATGATTTCTCTCATTTGTGGACTATAACAACGAAGCAAAACTGAAGGAACAAAATAGCAGAAGATTCAGAGAACCCAAGAAGAAACTAGTGGTTACGAAAGGAGAGGGGTGTGGGAGGGGTGTGGGGAGGGAGGGAGAAGGGAATTGATGAATATTATGTTTAGTACACATGGTGTGCGGGATCACGGGGAAAACAGTGTAGCCCAGAGAAGGCACATCATTGACGGACAGCGACTGCATTGGGGTATGGGTGGGGACTTGATAATATGGGTAAATGTAGTAACCACATTGTTTTTTCATGTGAAACCTTCATAAGAGTGTGTATCAGTAATACCTTAATAAAAAATTAAAACAAAAACAAATGATCACGATTTGCGAGACAGCACTCATCCACGTTTAAAAGTAGAATACAGCATTTTTAAAATCTGGGTTCAATTCCAATGCTAAGGGGTCAAATGTTCTATTATTTTCTTATTAGGTAAACACAATGTCCTTAAATAAACATAATGCATTTATTTCCCTGGATGTGCAAAGCCTAATTTCAAAAATTGTGCCTTAAACCTGTATGCAGAAAAAAGTTAATATGGGAGGCATGACTGCTCTCCTTGAAAAGACCTGCTTACAGGGTTCCTTGGCTGGCATCTGGGAACATGGATTTGAGGAGGGTTCCCACCATTCCCAGGAATGAGAAGTGGCCCCGTGTGCCTGCAGTGTTAGTACAAACATGCTTTATGCTGAATGCCTGCTTTCCTTCTGGGAGTCTAGAATTTGGGTACTTGGTAGGTGGAGGGTGCCAATGTGACCAGCCCCCAATAAACACCCGAGCGCTGAAGCTCTAATGAGCTGCCCTGGTGACAGCACTTCACCTGTGTTACCATAGCTCATTGCTGGGAGAAGGAGGCTCAGCTTGTGAGCCTTCACTCAGGGAGAACTCTTAGAAGCTTGCCCCAGGTTTCCCTCGGATTCATCGCATGCACCTTTTCCCTTCGCTGATTCTGCTCTGTGTTCTTTCGCTGTAATAAATCTGAGCCCTAAGTCTGACTAGATGTTGAGTACTGTGTGTCCTTCTGGTGCACCATTAATCCTGGAGGTGGTCTCAGGGATCCTTCGACACAACCTGCCTCTCAGAAACACAAGATACCAGAGTGAACGCGTGAAATATGTGGAAGAGTCGGCTGGGAGCTCACCACCAGGTTCAACTTGTGGCTGACAGCCAAGGCCGAGTGTTCCAGGGCTTTGAACACGGAGGTGTAGCAGTCCCTGAACTTGGTGTCTTTGCCAACCAGGGCTATGCAACACGTTTTCTGTAACCTTTCACACCTGGAAAGGAGGACACGCTTAAAGCTTATACACATACAACGTAACATCACAAACATAATGACAGCTGCTGTTCTTACCCCGAGGTGAATCTTAGAAGCAGACAAACTCCAAACTTGATGTACATGACTCCTATCCCCACAACCACCTCTACAGAACTAAAATCTGTATGCCAACATATTTCAAAGTCCTAAGAAATCCCAACATTGGCATATGGAAGCAGGCACAGACACAAATAGGAGAGTGTATCAGAGAAAAAGCTAAAAGCATTAAAAATAATAAAGCTGCCCCCATCTCATACATATGAGCTGTCCTTAAATTCATTCATAAGGTGACATTACATAAGAAACGGCACTCTAAGTGCCTATATTAAAAATGGTTACATTCCCAGCTGGCCCACAAACGCCAGGTTATTCACGGCATGCCTGAAGCATGGCGCTGAGAGAACTATTTAAAATACTACATGCCATTTAGATCATTTTTATGAGAAAGTTCCATTCTACATAAGATGCTCAATCACATTTCACCATTAGAGACACAATCTTTACTGTTGCTTTTGTCAGGAAATCTGTTCCACGAACCTGACAAATGTCTGGGCTGGCATTAAGTGCATGGAAATGATTGTCTTGGAGCCGAAGATGTTCTAGGGCTGTGAAGCAAATCCTTCCCCAAATCTTGGGACAAAAATGTGACTATGATGAGGAATATACCTCTTCCATACCACCATTAGCCCAGAGAGCAAGAGAAGTGGTTGCCAAGGCGGTGAGGGGAAAAATACACAAGAAGCTAAGAAGTCAAAACCAACAGTAAAGGTGACTTCCTAGGCAGGCTACTAAAGTACCTGCAAAAAGGCTGCTAAACCTTTCACTTAATTTTATGCTGCTCTGGAGATCGCATGGCCGTCCTGCTTCACCCCATCTCTACAGAAAGGATGCGAGTAACAAAGTAAATTGGTGTCAAGCCAACTTGAGACAATGTCAAAGGTCTCAGTGTTTGGCCCAAGGGAAGTGGCGATGGCAGCCACATCAGACCACAGCAGTGTGGCTGAGACCTCACAGCCTCCCCACTCCCCCAGCAAGGGAAGGCCATCAGCTCTGCTCTGGGGAGGAAGCAGGACTGGAGTCAACACCGCCAGTCCCTCCTTCCGCTCACTGGTGGCTGGTCTCCCTGGCAGGGAGGCCCCCCTCGGCAGCCGGGTGTGACAGGGGAGTCCACAGGGAGCTTACCAGGGAGGAGGGCTGCCATCCAGGAAGGACATGTGAGCCCACTCCTTGTGCTCTTTCCCCATCAGACCTGCAGGTCAGGCCCCCGGAGCACTGCCCCCACTATTCAAGCGTCTCCCTCATCCTCACCATTCGGACTGGGCACGAGAGGCAGGCAGCTGACACTGCTGGGAGCTGCTGGTGAGTGGCAGCCACTGAGTCTGCTCTGCAGGCCCATCCCCCTACAGGCAGGTGCCCAGGGAGGCAGGGGTGTCCCCATTTTGGCTGCAGGTCCCAGGCAAGCTCTCCCATGCAGTTCAACCAGGACCCCTGGCCTCTGAGCAGCACAAGACTTACATAATCAATGCTGCCCTCTGGCCTGTTTGCATCCGTGTATGTCTCTACAGGATGTACTGTGGGGACAGGCGCTAAAGGATGGACCCTCCAAACTGCCTGGATTAGGATGGGCCTTAAATCTAAAGACAAGCATCCTTACAAAAGAAGAGAAAGGGAAAAGACACAGAGGCCAAGTGCAGGCAGTAGTAGAGGCAGAGTGCACTGATGCGGTCACAGGCCTGAGGCCGGCCGGCAGCCCTCAGGGCCGGGGAGACACATGCAGCGGCGCTGCCCTCACAGCCTCCAAGAGGAAGCAGCCATGGTGATGCGTTTGGACTTCTGGCCTCCACAACTCTGAGAGAGTAAGTTTCTGCTCTTTTAACCCACCCAGTTTGTGGTAATTTGTTACAGCAGCCACAGGAAGCTAACACAAAGACCAAACACGAGCTTTAAAAAACACAGCAGCATAGAGTATAATTTAGAGCTCATTCCAATAAAAAGTATTAAAATTTCTAGGTTTAAAGAGGATTTGCCCCAAGCTACTCAGAAACTTCCTACAAAGTGACTGATTCCTTAAGCCTTCTGGAGGGCAGAGGCTTAATTTATCACCATTCAGTAGAGCACCTAAGTTCAGAAAGTGCACTTTATCCCTGATTCTATTTGCCTCAGAAATTCTAAAACACTTTTAAAATCTTTAAATGGAAAGGGCAAGAGATCTTCAATCTGCTAGTCATGTACCAAGGCCAGTGATTTTGTCACCATCCAATCATTTTAACTATTCTTATCAACATCAGTAACCAATACTCAGTGCCCCATAGGATGTGAAGGCCTTACATGAATTCTGTCATAACTGCCACAGTGTGGGTACTAGCACCCCCCTGTTATATCTGGACAGGAGAACAAGCCCAGAGAGGTCAACTAATCCAACCACACACACAGCTAATGGGAGGGGGAGCTGGGTCTAAATCCACAGGGCCTGACACCACAGCTTACCTTTTTTGTGTATTGAGATATAATTGACATTTAGCATATTAGTTTTGAGCGTACAACATGATGATTACATATGTATATATTATGAATTGATCACCACAATAAGTCTGGTTAACACCTACCACCACATATAGTTCCATTTTTTTTTCTTGTGATGAGGACTTAAGATCTACTCCTACGGCTTCTTCCTAAGCTGCACAAGAAGCTGGGCAGCCAGGACTTTATAGAGTCACGCCTTGGCTACATTTAGTAAAAGAATGTTGGTTATAGGGATTTAATTTCCATATGACTTTAAATGAGACAATCCTAGCTGAAATTAATATGGTTGTCTTAAAGCTAAAATTAATCTGGGGTTTTAATAATGACATCGAGAGTTAATGACTACAGGATGGAACAATAATGATATAGCCAAAGCTTCTCATTTGACATATTTTCTTTAGGAAATATTAGCCAAATCTTAAAAAAAAGCAAAACAAAACAAACCTGTGACATTTAAAACTATTGAAAATATTCATGAATGAAGAAATAAACTAATAAATAAATCAAAAGATTCTTTAAAAATCACTCTGGAATCCAAATTCCTTTAATTCACTTTGGTTTAAGTAGAGCAAAGTCAAAAGCTAGATTTAGACATAAGTCTAGCTAGAGCTTTAGATACATCCAGACCAACACATACATATACAAAAACTCAAATGTGACATAGGCACCCTTTAAGGTACATCTCAGGCCTACCCCCAACCCAAGAATTATTGAAGATTACATTAGTAATTCCTTTCACGTACCTGTCAGCCATATTTTTCCACTTGAAAAGCAGATTACTTGCTGAATCAACAATGGGCAGATTCAATCTCTCTTTAAAATATTTAACAACGCCTTGTTCCTCCAAAAGCAAAGGTACTCGATATGTGGAAGAAACATCATGGATACATATGACCTGATTAATGATGACACAAGACCATATTTCAATGGAAGGACTCAAATATGCTATGAGAATGAGCTAATGCTTGAGAGATAGCAGTTCATTTACACTGACTGAAGAAAAGCAAGAATCCAGTGACCTACAGAAGAGGCAGAACTAACAGAAACTTAGTGCTCTAATGACAGAACTCTTTGAACTCATTATTCTAACTCTGGAACCATGGATGCTGTGATAGAATTATATATATATAGTCTTTGTTCCTACTTCCTGACACAGAGCTTCAAAAACCTCTGGGATTTCCTGAGTAACCAGGCTATCTTTTTTGTGCTGCGGACATAACTCATGGTGGCTCCTAGATGCTTCAGGATAGGAAAAACCAAGTCAGGCTGGAAGTTTCAGCCACCTAACCTCAAGGGGCAGTAAGGAGGCTAGAGAATGAGTTCAATCACATAACCAATGGTTTACTCAATCACGCCTATGTAATGAAACTGCAACAAGAACTCTGGACATCAAGACTCAGGGAGCACCCTGGTTGGTAAACCTACAGATGTACCAGGAGGGTGGCAAACCCTGACTCCATGGGGACAAAAGCTCCTGCACTTGGGACCCTCCTAGGCCTTGCCCTCTGTATCTCTTCATCTGGCTCTTTGTTTGCACCCTTTATAATAAAATGGTAATAGTAAGTATAGAGCTTCCCTGAGTTCTGTGAATCATTCTGGACAATTATGAAACCTGAGGGGGTTACGGGAAGTCCCAAATTTGTAGTCAACCAGGCAGAAGTGTAAGTGGCCTGGGGACACTTGTGGTTGGTGTCCAAAGTGGAGAACAATCTTAAAAAGGACAAAACCCTTCAGCCCGTGGAGTTATTCAGTTAGTGTCAGAGTTGAATTGCAGGACCCCCCAGCAGGTGTCACAGAATTGGTGTTGGAACAAAGATTTTTAGCAGTCAATATCCAAGACACATGCCCAATGCACCATCTTTGAGTCTAGGTTATAGCAGTAGCATTGAGTGCATACACCCTGTCTTTTAAATGTGGGTGTGAATTGAAGTGTTTGTTCATTCATTTGTTGCTGCTTCTATTTATGCTTTTGACTGCTCCCTTCATTTGCATACATTTCCAAGCATATATTGAACACACTCAATTCAATTACACCTGTTAGAGGAGAAAAGCTCCTTAACTGCCAGGTGGTATGGTTGTTTTTCACACTTACCCTAATTACCTTTCACCACCCTGGGGAGTACATCCATGGGGCCACTGGCACGCATTTAAGGATCTCCCACATTCTAAATCAAGGTCAAGGAATGCAGCTGACTCTACATGTAAACACGTAGTCTTCCCAAATCCATAGCTATCCAACCAAGGTTTACTAAGCTGTTTGGATATTGCTAGCCTGACACTTAAGACTATTGTGTTTCACTTGCACATTCATCAATGCAGGTCAAAGTGCTAAGATGTCACTGAGTTGAGGCTCCATCTCAATTATTAATTAAAACCAAATCTCTGGACCACCCGAACTCCCACAAGTGGAAGGCATGGAGTATTCAGTTATTTATTCATTTATCCTCCAGGCTAAAGAGATTTTTTTTTTCAAATATCATACTAACGACCACATCCAAAGAGATGCCTCAAACCCTCCATCCCATCCTCAGTGATCCAGAGAAGGACTATAAATGCAAGTTCTCCAGGAACGAAGAAATGGGAACATCAACTCAGACCAGAAAAAAATGATGTGCTGAAAAATGGCTGGGAAACTAGCCTGTGGACTGATGGGATAAAGCAGTCTTCCGAATCAATAGTTCTATAGAAAACAGACTCTGTATGGTCAACAGTTGGGAACTGTTCTGTTCTCACAGCACTCAGCAACCCAACTCTGAGAGCTGTAGCCTCCTTCCATTTTGGGAAGCAGGTTATATCTGTTTAGTGTACACAAAGTACTATTTACCAGTAGGATGATTCCTAAAAGCAACTGAACAAAACTAAAATGGCTTGATGACATACAAATACAGGGGACTCCTTTACACCTGCCATCACATTTTTTCAAACTGGTTCACTTATGCGCTAACCCTGAAGCACCAGGCAGGAGACCCCACATGAGACACAGAAATCTGATTACACAGCTTTTAGGCTTCAGGGAACCCAGAGCTAATCTGAAGAAAATAAAAGGTTTCTACCAAATCTCACTCTTCTCCTGAGTGCCTTTGCATATCACTTTTTACACTGCAATCCCTTGCGCCTAAGCCTTACTGCAAGCAAGAGACCGAGAAAAAAGAATGATAAAAAGAAAAAAGAAAAGCAAGCTCCCAGATACCCAGGTGGAAAGTCCTGCAGGACAGAGGATCTGAGCCCAGTGAATGGAACGGAGGCCACTGATGTAATCAGAAGTGATAAGTGTGAATGTCACCGTAATGTCTGGTCTGGGGTGAGTTAAGCGGTAACACATACAAAGGAGAAATCACAGCGAATGTGGCAATTGTCCTGGAAACACAACATAAAGTGACGAAAAGCAGGCTCCATGTGGTTCTCTCTCTAGAGGTTTGCCTGCAATGTAAAAAGCCCACCTGGTTTGGTACCTATAACTTAAGCAGTGATTATGCAGAGAAACATGCAATCTACTTAAGGAACCAGGAATCTCAGATGGTCACTTAAGTGCAAGGGAGCTATGCTTCAGTATGACACCCTCAAAGCTTTCATAAATGCCATGAAAAGTAATATGATAAACCGAAGAGGTGAAAAACGCTGTCATCAGCAGAAGTGCCCGCAAGGCAGTAAGATCTAAAGAGCAGCACTAACCTGTTCAGGGTTCACATGACAAAACATAGAAATCTTTTCCTTTGTGGCCATTTCAATGGGTGCAGAGCTTCGGCAGATAATCTGTCAAAGTCAGATATGCACGGGTCAGCAAGCAGGAATTGAGCTATTCATGTTACCGTTCATTTTCAGCATGACACTTTATTAATTTCTTTTTACTACAAGAGTCTTGACCAAGCATGTACTTGTTCATTCTGGGCATTCTACTGGACTGTTAGAAACTGATCTAAGCATGAATATAAGTATAATCAAACTCCACACAAGTCTACTAGTAAGGACTTGAGATGTCAAGGCATCTCTACTAAATTGAGTCAAGCCTCAGAAATGCTACTCCTTTAAATACAAGTACGGAGCTACACCAGAGGTTGGCAACCTTTTTCTCTAAAGGGCCAGATGGAAAATATTTTAGGCTTGCAGGTCATGTCATCATGACTACTGATTGTACCCTTGCAGCACAAAGGCAGCTACAGAATAATGTAATCAGGAGATGGTAGTCTGTTTCAATAAAACTTTATTTACAGGCAGCAGGCCTGCCCACCCTTATCTGTCAAACCCTGATCTAGACCACTAGCAGTAACTGGATGACCTGCTGCAAATAAGAGCAGTGATAGCCCATCCCAGCAGCATCAGAGGAAAATCTGCAAGGTCCCATCTCCCATTACAGGACCCGGGGACTATACAAATGACAGGATATTCCACTTGCCCAGCTGTCGGTGACACCAACCAAATGAGAAACTAGAGAAGAACGGATGGCCAATTCAGAGATATGTGAGGCGACACTTGAGAGTGAGGGAATAAGCCTTCCCTGGCTCTCAGATACAAAAAGTTCATTGTTATAGGAACAATTTGAGAGCTAGAAAGGACTTAGGTGATATTACAGATTAAGACATGGAGGTCCTATACCAAGAAAGTTCCCCACTCTCCTTAACTCACCAAGTCGGGAGACAGGCCTAACCCCCTCAGCACACGGACGCTGTTTTGTGTGGGTTTAGTTTTTTGTTCTCCAGTAGCACCTTGCTGAAAGGAAATGGGTCACTGTCAGTATGCTAGATTTTTAGCTCTTCAGGATAATCAATGGCTCCCTAGTTTGAAATGAGGAATAAACAGAATATCATAGGAAGACTTACAGAAGTTGCTGACTACATATATGGAAAGCTCACCTGAGGGACAAGGCTAACATGGATATTACAGAAATTCTCTATTTTTGCCTTAAACTGGAATTGTCTGAATGCTTCCACAAATGGCATTCCTTCAATGTCTCCAATGGTGCCATCCAGCTGGGAATGGAAAAAAAAGATACAAGTGATCTTCCACAGTACACAGACTAGCAGAAAAATTCTCGAGCTATGCCAAGAATAGAAGTTTGTAAATATGCTAAAAATCACTGCCTTATACACTTAAAACAGGTGAAATTTATGATATATAAATTAAACCTCACTATAACCGTTAGAAATGAAAAGGGAAAGCACTCTACATTTAAGAGGGAGAGTAAAGAGGGACAAATTCCTATTATAAACTAAGTCGCAGGGGTGTAAAGTACAGCATTGGGAATATAGTCAATCACATTGCAACATCTTTGTATGGTGGCAGATGCTAATGACGCTTATAGTGGTGATGTATATAAATGTCAGATCACTAAGTTGTACACCTGAAACCAGTCTAATGTTGTATGTCAACTGTAGTTCAATTTAAAAAAAAGGGGGGAGATGAAGTAAAGGCAAGAGAAAATGGAGACTAGAAAGTCAAATAAGAAGTGATGGCGTACAGCACAGTCAACCAGGTAAGCAGGAAGAGAGAAGGGAGAGCAGAGCCTCAAGGGGGCAGAAGCAAGATTATCTGCTTCCTGCGTTTACAAGATCACTCTGCCTGTTGGGTGGAGATTCAGACTGAGTAAACAAATCCTGGTTTTATAATCCAGCTGGATTTTACAGGCTAGTATATCATCCCCTAAAAATTTAGGGGCTCATCATAAGGCTGTCAACCCTTCACCTCATCAAGATTGGAAAAAAAATTTTTTTAAGAAAAAAGGAGGGTTTTAAGAAAAGGCAAGGGAATTCATAAGCAGACAAAAGGATCCAGAATATGGGCCACAGAGGAGGGAGACCAGCTAGTTTCCACCAGTGGTCCACCTGCAAGATAGAACTCAAATCCAGTAACAGTATGAGAAAGGTAAGAGCCAGCGGGCTCTGCTGCCTGGTGTGAAGTAGTGAGCATTCTCGCTCTCTCCATGTGCACACATGCGCACGCATGCGCGCACACATGCACACACACACACACACACACACACGCATGCATATGAACAGTCTCCTTGCCATGGTGATACTACTAGAATTAAATCACGACTATTAAAACATGCTGGCTTTCTGAAACAAGTAGTACGAAAAGCTCCAGGAATACTTTCGACAGTGTAATCCTTCAGTAAATGTTAATTTGCAATGTGCTTCCAACCAAGTTACTTAAGCATTTACTTTAGACTAGGGTAAAATTCACCTTAACCCATTCATCCTCACCGTAGTTAAATACTTAAAGGTTATGACATGGATTTGAAAATTAATTCTGTGGCATCTGCACATCTACTACATGTTCAACACTATAAACCAGGCAGTGGGAGGAATTTAAAACAATGTTGTCGTAAGATGCTCAGAATTTATCAATGAAATAAGGCAGAGCTAAGGCACAATAATCACCAGGAAACTTTAGGCAACGATGGGGATGTTGAGGAGGAAGAAATCACGGTGTGCCTGTCCCAGAATTTACCATCTTCTCTGGTGTCAGCTGCCTAAATGAGCCTGAGATCTACTTCGAGCCCTGAGCTCTCTTCTCAGCACAACCGGGCTTTGGAGCCAACTCGTCCTTCACACCTTCAAGATGTCTCCATCATGACTCAGTCTTATCATGTCCCAAACTGAACTCCTGGTCCCCTCAGCCCCTGGGCCTGTTCCTTATCCCAGCGAACAGCATCTCCTCCCCCTAACTGTTTCAAGCTAGCAGCCTGGAAATCATTCTCAATTCCCCCTTTCCCTCACCCAGCCCAGTCTAGAGGGTTGTACCTCCAAAACCTCCTGAAAATTCATTGCTTTCTACTCCACTGCCACCACCCTAGACGCTACTGACGCCATCTTCTACTGACTGCCATAACCTAAACCAGCGGTGTCAAACTATGGCCTGCAGCCTGTTTTTACATATAAAGTTTTATTGACACACAACTATGTGCACTATTTTACATATTGCCTATGGCTGCTTTCACACTGCAATGGTAGAGTTGAGTAGGTGTGAAAGACACTCTCTGACCCTCAAAACTGAACATATTTACAATCTGCCCTTTATAGGAAAAGTTGGCCATCCCCCACTCTTATTAATGGCCTCCCAGTTTCCACTCTCTCCTGTCCTCCATCAACCATTTGTCACACACCAGCAGAGTGACCTTATAAACACTCAGAAGGCATCTCCTGTGCTTATACCCTCAGTGGCTTACTGCTTCACTGAAAATAAAATCTACACTCTTCCCTGCAGCTAAGCAAAGGCCCTATATGCTCTGGCCCCGCACATGTCTCTCATCTCCTCTCATGCCCCTGCCCCGCACTCCTCACACACCCACCTCTGGGTGTTAGCCCCCTAGCCATTCAGGATCTCAGATGGAATGCTCTTCCAGTGTGCCCTAAGCCCTCCCACCCTCCTTCTTCATCTCCATCCATCTCATCTTGATCCTTCAGCCTGGGGAGCTACGTCCCCCTCAGAAAGCCCAACCCTGAACACCCACCTAAAGCAGCCTCCCCCATGCTGCTCCCTATCATAGCACCCGGTCGGGCTCTTCCCAGTAACTCAGCACCAGGCACCATGATGGCCCTGAGTCCTTGATTTGCGTCTCTCCACCCCACTAGGCTGTCTGCCCCAGGAGGCCAGGTGCCTGACTGCCCTGCTCCCCACCCTGGCTCTGACACAAGCCCAACTACCTGCACAGCTCTGGGGGTTTAGGTCAGCAGTCAGCACAGGACAGAAGGGTCTCGAAATTCGATGTAAGCCCTAGATAACAGCATTCAGGTAACCCACCACCATAACTACAAAGGATTCAAACTAAGAAATTACAGGACTACATTGCTATAGAAGAAATGATTCTTTACTAACTTTAATTCAGATAACAAAACATAATTAAAATTCAAGCTTCTTGGGTATAGAACAGATAAAAATATATAATTGCTTTGTAAAAGAATGACAAGCACTTATGAAAATCCAAGAAATAACATGCAATCAAGAAATTGGCAAGGGATGAGGGATTTAAGTGCTCATTAACTACAACGCACCAGAACCTAACAGGAAAATAAATTCTTTAGGAAAAAAAAGGTCTGCATTTAAACTAAACTGTTGAGGGACATCTGTTTTTTGATATGAATACTCTAGGAGCTAGGAAACAGGGAAGCTTGAAAAGGCAAAGGCTTTAAACATTGTCCGCTTCTGCCTTCACGTGGCCTACCATGGTACTGCACTCCCTCCATCAGTTTGGACCGTCCCATTACCACTCGTCTGGTGCCCCATTTACCAGCACTGTGATCAGAAACTTTCAGTACTATTACTGGAATAACTCTAAATTTACTATTTCCCCGCACAACAGGGAAAATATCACCCATAACAATTTTAAGATCTATCCAAAGCTGAAATCGAATCAGCAGCAAGTTTATAAGATGTGCAAAGTCTGTTCTGCCTTTAATGAATGAAAGGACTCTTTTTTGAGAAAAAAACGAAAAGGAAGAAAGAAATATACCTTTTATTCCATTAATCCAGGCATAAATTATTTCAGGTTCATGTTGCGATGACCTGGACTAATATGAACAAATCTTGTCAGCTTCACTGCTCTGAGGAATAGAGGCCTCTTGTGCAAAAAGGCTTTGAAAACATTTCAACAGCTTCTACGTGCTTAAAACTGAAAATCAGCTTTGGAGGTCCTTCTGCGAAAGGTTAAATTGTGCATGAACACAAATGTTGAGCACAACTTAAACCCAAAGGATGCCTGACCTAGTGTCCATTAAGTGAATATAAACATCATGATTATATGGAGAAGAAAGGGTTGTGCTGGAGAGAACTTGTGACAGTTTCTGTTTCCATGAAATTAAAAGTCAACATGAGACCTGCAGAGCAGTGTCCTCTTAAGCCTAGCAGCCATTACCAGGACTAGTACACATTAAGGGCAAAATCAATGTTGGTTAAGCCAAACAAGTCAGTTCAAGAGCAGAATAAAAAACAAAAGAACACAGATATGGGGGGTGGGGAAAGAACAATGTGAAGGCACAGGTCTAAAATGTTTGCTTATTGTTTGTTGAGATAGAAATTTCAGTTTAATTTGAGATGTCATTGTTAATTCTGGATTTCATTGTGCAAGTGGAACCTTGCAGCAGTTAGAGTCAGAATCTATAGCATTCTTCTTTGTAAAATGATGACAAAGAGAAGCAGGTGCACTGGCACCAGAACACATCATACAAACTTTGTTCAAGGATGATTGTCAAAAAAACAATACCTGGAAAAGCTAAGATGAACAAAGTGTTAAGGCTCATCCCAAACTGAAATTGGGCTTGTATAGTAATGAACTCCAGGGGCGGCTCAATTACATTAAAAAAACATATCTTTCCCCCTTCTCTTTCTTGTGATTATTATTATTAAAAAACATAATTAAGAAAAAAAATAGCATCAGGGAATAAGAGGCACAAACCTTCGTATACATGACCATTTGGAATTTTTTCTATGATTAAGGATAACAGCCTTAAGAGAAGGCTTCCACCTACGAAAACTAAAAGAAAAAAAAAAGTCACTGCAGAAGTTATTAAAATGTTCAGGTTTAGAAAACTGGTCAGGGACCAATTCTTCTCCTGGGAAAATGGGCACATTTTGGATATCCTCTGCATTTCCTGTTGCTAGAACAGGAAAAAGCAGTGAAAAGTACTAGACCAGTGCTGTCCAGTAGAAATAGAACATGAGCTACATATATAATTTTAAAGTTTTAGTTGCCACATTTAAAAAGGCAAAAGCTTTCCTCATGTAATTATATATTAATGATACAAAATTTTTTAAAAAGTAAAAAAAAGGCAAAAGCAAGCAGGAGAAATTAATTTTAACACTGTATTATATGTAGCGCAGTATATCCAAAATATTGTCATTTAAACATATTGGCAATATTTAAAGAAATTATTAGGTATTTTACATTCCCTTTTTTTCATACTAAACCTTTGAAGTCCAGTGTGTATTTTAAACTCACAGCACATCTCAATTAGGATGGGCCACATTTTAT